AATGATTTTAAGTTTGTTAGTTCTTTATTTTATAACATAAAGAATAAGTTGCTTATTTGCTGCTAATTTTGGCTCTGATTCTGTTTCTTAGGGGCCGTTTGGCAATCATGGTTACAAGCATTTGCCTGATCAAACTTCATATGTTTAATTTTTATTATTATTATTTTTTATTTATGTACTATTGTAAAGAAGGAATGAGACAAATGGTGAATTATAAAAATATGAGCAATCTGGAGATATTTTTAACAAGCTTTGGAGTTAATGCTAATAATATACATGGTCTTTGATGGTTTTATTGAGAAAACGTTGTTGAGGCAGTGAAGGTTATTCTTGTCATTTTATTTATAAATATATAGAAATGCAGTGCCTAAAAATGATTTTGGAGCACCAATAACACATCCCTTTATAATATCATTGCTTTCTCTTGGCTATTTGTATTACAAAAAAATTTTTAACTTTTGCAGCTTTTGCTTAACGTGCTTTGTCATTTTGACTCCTCAACAATTAGCGTTAAGTGAAAGAATAAAAGAAATTGGTATTATATAATTTAATTTTACTAAGGCAAAAAAGTTTTGTTATTTGATTTTGTTAAATTTTAGTAAAAGATAATTTTTTTAAAAAATATTAATAATATGGAAGATCATTGTAATCCTTGAGTCAATTGAAAAACTCGTGTAATTGTACACACTTAGGCGAGTGTAATTTATTTATTTATTTATTTATTTGATCATGAAAATCGAAACAAGTCTAGAATTCATGTGAGAGGTCCGGCATCAAGTGTGTTGCTATCTTAGCCAACTAGAGAAGTAATCACATCCTTACCCTCAAACTAGCACACAAATCTAGTCCCAATCATCAAGATAAGAAGTGGACATTTTATTAAAATTTTATTGTTCTAGGTGCGCTTATTCTTTTCACTCTATTTTTTTTCTTTTTTTTTTTTCTTTTTTTTATTGAGGATCAAAGATGGAAATATTGTGCAATGTGTTGATCTCTTAAGCTTTCTAGAAGATTCATGTAGCGAGCTTTAGGTCAATGACTCCCAAACCAGATGGCTTTAGGACATTAGGTGTTAAGACACCCCTACGGACTTACAAACTCAAATCAACTAGGCTACAAATCAAGACAACAACCATCTAATCATTTCTACTTCTCACCTTTTGGGAGAAGTCCTCACTTTTATTACTTTTGCAACTTTCTTTTTTTTTTCTTTTTTTTTATTTTTATTTTATTTTTATTTTTTATAATAATCAATTATTAACCTAATCTTTGTGGATCAAGGCGAATAAGAGGTACGAAATACTCCCCTCAAGTCTTAATATGTCGTAAACAAACGACTTTGAGATGAGTAATGATACATTTTTCGAATGTTGCATAATAATTACGTAAATAGAGATGTCGATCTTACACACTTATATTAGTATAGTAGACATGGGCCCACGTTCACACTTCCACTCAAATCAACCCCTCAAAAAATTATTTGCACTCAAAATGAATTGAATTTTAAACTCACAATACACGCACCATTCAAATTTCGAAAGCAAGACCTTAAGGACTTATTTCCTGAATCCCTACTAATGCTGTTATATCCTTGAAGATATATATATATATATATATATATATATATATATATATATATTATATAATCTCTTAAAATGATTTTAAGTTTGTTAGTTCTTTATTTTATAACATAAAGAATAAGTTGCTTATTTGCTGCTAATTTTGGCTCTGATTCTGTTTCTTAGGGGCCGTTTGGCAATCATGGTTACAAGCATTTGCCTGATCAAACTTCATATGTTTAATTTTTATTATTATTATTTTTTATTTATGTACTATTGTAAAGAAGGAATGAGACAAATGGTGAATTATAAAAATATGAGCAATCTGGAGATTTTTTTAACAAGCTTTGGAGTTAATGCTAATAATATACATGGTCTTTGATGGTTTTATTGAGAAAACGTTGTTGAGGCAGTGAAGGTTATTCTTGTCATTTTATTTATAAATATATAGAAATGCAGTGCCTAAAAATGATTTTGGAGCACCAATAACACATCCCTTTTATAATATCATTGCTTTCTCTTGGCTATTTGTATTACAAAAAAATTTTTAACTTTTGCAGCTTTTGCTTAACGTGCTTTGTCATTTTGACTCCTCAACAATTAGCGTTAAGTGAAAGAATAAAAGAAATTGGTATTATATAATTTAATTTTACTAAGGCAAAAAAGTTTTGTTATTTGATTTTGTTAAATTTTAGTAAAAGATAATTTTTTAAAAAAATATTAATAATATGGAAGATCATTGTAATCCTTGAGTCAATTGAAAAACTCGTGTAATTGTACACACTTAGGCGAGTGTAATTTATTTATTTATTTATTTATTTGATCATGAAAATCGAAACAAGTCTAGAATTCATGTGAGAGGTCCGGCATCAAGTGTGTTGCTATCTTAGCCAACTAGAGAAGTAATCACATCCTTACCCTCAAACTAGCACACAAATCTAGTCCCAATCATCAAGATAAGAAGTGGACATTTTATTAAAATTTTATTGTTCTAGGTGCGCTTATTCTTTTCACTCTATTTTTTTTCTTTTTTTTTTTTCTTTTTTTTATTGAGGATCAAAGATGGAAATATTGTGCAATGTGTTGATCTCTTAAGCTTTCTAGAAGATTCATGTAGCGAGCTTTAGGTCAATGACTCCCAAACCAGATGGCTTTAGGACATTAGGTGTTAAGACACCCCTACGGACTTACAAACTCAAATCAACTAGGCTACAAATCAAGACAACAACCATCTAATCATTTCTACTTCTCACCTTTTGGGAGAAGTCCTCACTTTTATTACTTTTGCAACTTTCTTTTTTTTTTCTTTTTTTTTTATTTTTATTTTATTTTTATTTTTTATAATAATCAATTATTAACCTAATCTTTGTGGATCAAGGCGAATAAGAGGTACGAAATACTCCCCTCAAGTCTTAATATGTCGTAAACAAACGACTTTGAGATGAGTAATGATACATTTTTCGAATGTTGCCTAATAATTACGTAAATAGAGATGTCGATCTTACACACTTATATTAGTATAGTAGACATGGGCCCACGTTCACACTTCCACTCAAATCAACCCCTCAAAAAATTATTTGCACTCAAAATGAATTGAATTTTAAACTCACAATACACGCACCATTCAAATTTCGAAAGCAAGACCTTAAGGACTTATTTCCTGAATCCCTACTAATGCTGTTATATCCTTGAAGATATATATATATATATATATATATATATATATATATATATATATATATATTATATAATCTCTTAAAATGATTTTAAGTTTGTTAGTTCTTTATTTTATAACATAAAGAATAAGTTGCTTATTTGCTGCTAATTTTGGCTCTGATTCTGTTTCTTAGGGGCCGTTTGGCAATCATGGTTGCTTTGTGCTTTTGTTTTGACCCAAAGCAAAATTAACATTTTCACTTTAAAGTGTGTTTAATACTATTTCGAAACTTGTTTGGTAACGTAAATTTGTTACAAGATTTTTGGAAGTAAAAACGTGAAAGCAATTTTTTGTAAAAAGTGTTGCAAGTTTGAAAAATTGAATGGCTAGTTAAAAATGTTAATTTAGGAGAATTTTTTTATTGAACAGTGTTTTGTTGAAGCAAACAAAAGCATCATTTTGATGTTTCCGATTTTGGCATCAATTTTGAAAGTGTACTATTCAAAAGACAACAAATGTTACCAAATATACTTTGTGCTTTTGCTTTGTTATAAATATATTAGCAAAAAAAAAAAAAAAAAAGAAACAAAAGCATTAGCCAAACAATACCTTAATGTTAAAAACATTTTGCTTTTATACCTTATGAAAATGTTTCACATGATTAGGTTGTAAGAAATGACAAGGGGCTGTAGTGAGTTGCATTTCCTACTATGCAATATGATGCTTTTCATAAAAAAAAAATTTCCTCTTGTAGAGCCGTAAAAGAATTGAATTGTTCATGAATAATTTGGATTCTCTACCCAGCACATTTCTCTAATATAGTGCAAGTAAAAATACCTTAAATGTGTGTTTGTATATATATATATATATTGCTTTCTATTCTCATCGTGCAACTTTATATATTCAACTTTCTCCTGCTTCATTGAATTTCTTCATGTCGTTTGCAAATCTTTTCTTGCCTTCTCATTTATTGGAATTTATTTATTTATTGTCTCTGACATTTCAATGCTTTTTCTCAAACAATGCCCAATTGCATTGTAGGTCCTTTGAGATCTCATGTTTATTCTTAATATAATTATATTTATTTCATTCGATAGTCAAATCACCAATTTTACATCAAAAGAAATGAAACCTTGAATAATTTTAAGACAACTCAAACCACAAGGAAAACAACTTACTGAAACAAATAAACAAAAGAACTATTTCGAAATTCAATCCCAACAGGCAGATGATCGGTGATGGCTAAACAGTGATCGACTGTGTTGACGTCATGCTGAATTATGAATTTGTAATGAACCAAACTACAAAAGTATTGTTCCAAAAATTTAGAACCAGACAGAAGCGTTAAGATTTAGGAGAGCGGACTCCAATTCAACGACAAGAGGGATGGAGGAAATTCATCACATGTTAATGCTCATAAGAAAACAAAAGTAGTATGTCTTATACATGTAAAATTATGACAAGACCAGTCCACCTATTAGTATTTTGATCAAGCCATATGCCACAACTCAGACACATTTAAAACAACTAATAGCTTAAAAAAAAAATTAATAATATGTTTGGCAGTGAAAAGGGAATGAATGAGCCTCTTAACCAACCTCAGCACAGCAAAGCACCCGTCCTTTATTCTTCTAGCTTCACTCGTTTGCTACTCAACCTCTCTGACACCTCAACTCCTTTCCTCTTTCTCGCTTCCTTGATGTTGTCTAATTCAACCCATTGCTTGAATAGATTCCAGATTTTCAACGCTCGTTTATCAAATTGCTCTATTATAGAGTCGGGGCCGATATCAGTATAGGCAGATCGCCGAATTGCATTCACGATTTGAAGCAGTCCCTTATGATTGACACATAATCTGCATTTGTGGCCCTCCGTGCATTCTTCAAGGCATTCAAATTTCTCAAAATTAGGAATTGCACAGCCCTCCCCAATGGGAATTGCACAGCCCTCCCCAATGCATTCAAATTTCTCAGACTTGGGAATTGCACAGCCCTCTCCAATCCATTCAAATTTCTCAGGCGTGATAATTACTCCATCGCGTTCAACATTTTCGAATCGCTCGATTTGGTTTATGATTTCGAGTAGTTTCTCACGATTTGGGAAGTCTTTTGAGCTTTCAAGTAGTTTCTTACGAATTACACATAATATCGTGCATTTGTGGCCCTACGTCCATTCTTGACAAACATATTTCTCAGGCTTAGGGATTGCACAGCCCTCCCCAATGCATTCAAATTTCTCAGGCTTAGGAATTGTAAATCGCAGCGTAATGCATTCACAATCCTCATACTTATGAATTGCAAAAGACACAGACTTAAGAATTGCACAGAGCTCCCCAATGCATTCAAATTTCTGAGACGTAGGAATTGCTGTGAACACCCCACCAATGGAATCAAATTTCTCATACTCATGAATTCCAAAGAACACCCCAATGTTTTCAAATTTCTCAGACTTAGTAATTGCACAGCCCACCCCAATGTTTTCAAATTTCTCAGGCTCAGGAATCGCACGGCTCTTCATGCATTCAAATTTCTCAGTCTTCGGAATTGCACAGCCCTCTCCACGCCCCATCTTTTATCCTTTTTCTTCAATTCTATAAAAGAATTGGTTCAAGAAAAATAAATAAATATCACATCCTATCATTAACAAGACCATTCTTAAATTTAACAAAATATAAAATAAGAATCCTCATAAAGACAATGGAATTAAAAGTTTCCGACCTCAATCTTTCTTTATATCAGACTTCAAGACTATTTATCATTATTTATACATAATACATTCATAAATTTGTATATCTATATATGAAAACATCTACATTATGTATACATCAATAGTTGTATATCTATATATGTAAATATCAATTGGGAAGAGAGGCAGCGTGCGTAGGGATTGAAAATCTAACCCTATTCCACCCTGATTGAAAAGAAAAAAAAATAAATAAAAAGGTCAGACAGACAGAAGAAACTGAACTGTTTTTTTCTCGGTAAATTTGTTTAGATCTCTGTTTTACTCTCAAGAAACTGAGAGAAACTGATCTGTTTCGTGCCGATCCACAAACTAACACAGTACAAATAAAATTAAAAAAAAAAAAAACAGAAAAAGAAGAAGAAGAGAGCTTACCGGTGAAATCTGCTGATGCTTCAACAAAAAGATTCACTCCTTCGGTTCTCCGACCCCTTACAAAAACCCTCGTTTCTAAGGCCTGTTTCGGGCTCCCTCAACACGGGTTAAAAGTACATAATAAGTTTCTTTTCTTGGCTTTGTTTGGAATCAATTATTTTTGGATTTGGAAAAGGAATCAGAATTAGAAAAGGAATTGGAATTACAATGAAATTTCATTTCTATGTTTAGAACCAATTGAATTTGAAGTTGGATTTAAAAGGGAATTTGGAATAAAAATAATATTATACCATTTTTGCCCTTATTTAAATGATAAATAAAATATTTATTTTATTATCAAATATGCTCCAAAGTTACATCAAATAGACAAACAAAAAGAAAAACTAAATGATATAACTGAAATATAAAATTTACTTATTTAACAAATCATGTAAAAAAAGAGCAATTATTTTTTAATTAAAAAACTAATTTATTAAACATCACCAATATACTTAAAAAAAATCATTAAAAAGTAAAATAATCTTTGTAAACAGTTATATGAGAGAGCGGTATGGAGTTAGTTAAATAATGTTAGAGATATAGATATGCTAGTATATATTTAATAGGACAAGATTAAATGAGAAGAAGACGGTTGGAGATTGAAATAGGTTAAGTAGATATTGTACAAGGTTAATTAAGATAATATTGTATTTATATTCCAAATCCCGTCCTGTCGTTTTAGATTGGGATTGAAACACATCAAAAATAGTATTTGAAATCTTTTTACTTTAAAATCCCATTCACAATCTAATGATCCCAAACACTGTAAATCCTATTTCTAAATCCAAATCCCATTAAATCCAGCATTCCAAATACAGAAAATCACTGAAAAATATATAGGAAAATAATATTTTTGACGACTTCACGTGGTAATAAATTATTGGTATTTTCTAGCATATTAAATTAATTCCTTTTAGACAAAAATATCCTTTTATATTTGCCTTATATGTCTATCTTAATATATCAGCGAATCTATAATAATTTCTGGAATGATCCTTTCTTTTCTTTTCTTATAATTTTTTTCTTTTCTTTTTCTATTGTTTTCAACTAATATCGTATATGGCTAATTTGATTTTTACCCCAAAGAGAGAGGACAAAAACGAAAGGGAAAAAAAAAAAAAAAACAGAGAAAGAGGAGAAAGATTTGAAGTGGGATCATGGTTATAGGCTTTAACAGAGGTATGAAGTTGGCTATGATAGAAGACAACATTACAAAGGTATGTTAATGGAAAAGGCAATGAATTGTTGGTGGCTGAGCAAATTTCAATGGAATCGAACTGAATATGGGGTTTTCCGGCAACCAATTCACGCATGTCTCTCTCTCAATCCTCTGCACAGCCCACTCCCTTCTTTTATGACACGATTTTAGTTTTATCCCTAGTTCTTCTTAATTGAATTTTTGAAAGAGATAATATGTTTTCTTTGTATTTTTTGATAACTTTTTTATTTTATTTTATTTTATATATGCTCTCAAATGCAGATCCACAGTATGATTAGGCTTTGTTCACTCACTCCCTACATCCTCAATTTTTTAATTTTCTCAAACATTCTGATCTCTCTCACTCCCTCAATTTTCTAGCACAAACTTGAAGCCCTGACCAAATTGAGATTACTCCCATTTGTTGATCTTGGCTTCAAAGGCTAAAAAGATGTTTACAGTAAATATTGATGGTCGGCTAAAAAAGTATTGTTATTGCAGAATCAGTGTTCTAATGTATCAATCCTTTGGGAATGTTGAAATTAATCAACTACCCGGTTGATGAACACTTTGGCAATCGATAGATAATGAAAAGGATGTGATTTTGAAGACCAGGCTTTGCTAGGAATGAGAGAGAGATGCATGATTTCTTTAGTAGAAAATAATAAAAATTGTGATTTTGGTTGAGAGAAAAATGGGAAAGGAAACTTGTTAGTACACTCGTCTTAAAGTGGCCTCCACGTAAGAGAGTTGTATGATATCGGTTTTTGTATAGTCGGGTGAAATGAAAAACGACATAATTTGATGGCAAAGAACCTTTTTCAGTCATCACATCTTTCAACCTACACCAGTTTTCTTGAACTTTTTTTTTTTGAAGGACTTTTTCTTGAACTTCTCCCTACAGTTTTTTTCCATTATCCAAGAAAATGATGACGGACAGATTGTATGAAACGTTCTTTTTTTCCATAAGAATGGATTAAACAAGAAATTTTTATTCAAAATGCAATGTGGAATTTGAGAAATTATGATGACCCAAAAGAGAATTTGCAGCTACAACCAAGAATCAATGAAGATAAGGAACAAATAGAGAAGCCAAAAGTATATAATATATAAAAGTAGCGGTTATTAGATATCCTGGGCAATTAATATATATATATATATATATATATATATATATATATATTTTCTGATTGGGTATTTTTTTTTGTCTCCTAACTCTGAAAAAGGAATTGACATTCCAATTCCAGCAAAATCCTGGGCAATTAATATGTTCTATATATTAAAAATAAATAAAAAATTCTTCTTCACCCAGCGGTCGAATGGAGAGAGAGTGTGGTCCCCACCATTGTACAACATTGGAGGTAGGAGTGGGACTAACCCGGTTAATCTGATTCAACGAGAAAATTATAAATGTGTGGGCAAAGTATTGGGACCATGGGATTATGTTTTCATTTTGGTTTGGATAATAAAATTTTTGGATGAAATGAATATCGAAGGTATAATTTTTTTATTATTATTGTTTTTATTTATCACAACCCGAAGGTAGAATAAAATATTTTTATATTTGGCGAAAGAGATAACACCTTTTGTTATTAAAGTTATGTTCGGTACGGTGGGTTTGAAGGGGAAGGATAATATTAGCTATGAGGAAAAGGAAATGGAATAATAATTTTAACCCTCCATCGTATTTGGTTGATTAATGAAGGAAAAGAAAGAGAAGTATAGTAATCATGTTTGGAAAAAAAAAAAAAAAAAAGAGATGAAATTTACTATTATACCCTTTTCCATTTTAAAAAAGATAGATATATATATATATATATATATATATATATATATATATATATATCTAGACCAAAAATAAAAAAGTAAAATAAACCAAAAATTAAAAAATAAAAAATAAAAAGTAATCTGTATGCCACGTATATCCGTACATGGATGATGGGCCACAAGATTTAGGGCAAATCATTTCAGCCTCCCCAATCTCTCCGCCTCTGTCTCCATTCTCGTTCTCAACTCTGAACTTGCCTTTTCTCCTCTGAACTTGCCCCCCCTCTCTCTCTCTCTTCGCACTATAGCCGCTGTCTATCAAGAATCAAAAGTTCAAAACCCATATATTTCAGTTTATCTATCAAGAATCAAAGTTCAAAACCCATATCGGCATATCATTTCAGATTGTTCGAAAAATGAAAACCCATATCTTTCAGTTTCCATCGCCCGCTGTTTTAGTTTGGTTCGCCGTTCGCAAGCTTCAGCCGCTGGCCGCCGCCGTTCGCAAGCTTAAAGTGATAAAAAGAGGGTAAAATTGGCATCACAAATATTACATCAGTCATTGGCTTCCCTTTCCGCCCATTTTTGGGAGGATAAGCATATCACTGTACAAAGCAGACCATAACCCTCCAAACCCTTCCCTCTCCTTTCATTTTCTTCCACCCATTTTACCCAAACACAATTTTTTAATCACCCTCCATCATCTTCCCTTCCCTTTCCTCCCATTTCCACTCTACCAAACTGAGCCTAAGAGTTAAAATATTCACAATGCATGGTCCAACCTTCCAATCTCCCTCCCTCCCTCTTACTCGTACCCAAAATTGAAATTGCAATTCACCAATCTACTTTATTGTCTTTTCTCCTTTTTCCATCTTTTCATCGTGCAATAACATTGTTATTTATAAAATTTCAGTAAAATATTCAAATATGTATGCATTCAAGGAATTCAAATTATAGTTACTTAAAAACTTTAGAGCATGTTTAGTTTAGTTTTCAGAAAATAGTTTAGAATAAAAAATTGTACAAAAATCTATTTAGTTGACAATTTAAAAAAATTATTATTTTTTTATTATTTTTTTAAATGCTTGTTTGTAAAGAAAGTTTTCTCTTTTTTTTAAAATATATATATATATATATATTTTTCATTTTTTTAGTTATTGGGAACTGATTTATGAATAACTAAACAATTTTGTGATTTTTATTAGATGAATAATGATTTTTAACATGGGTTAAGTGCAAAAACAACCATCTATTATCGATATAGTGCATATCAGTCTCTATGTGGTAAAAAATTCCTCTATATTATCTATCTGGTGCGAATAGGCCCATGTGTGGTGTAAAATGACGATAATACCCTCACTCCAGTTTAATAAATTAATGATTATAAATACAGGTGATGTAAAATGATCTTTTTGTCCAAATTTGTATAAAATGGGATTTGTTTGGCAGAAGAATTAAATAAACCTCAAATTATATAAAATAGGAATAACCTAAACCTGAATATAATTAAATTTAAAACCAAACATGTCCTTTCATATTTTAAAATATAAATAAATTTGTCATATATATATATATATATATGTGCACACCATATATCATTAGGCAAATCTATAGGCCCAAAAAACTTGTATTTGTATTTTTTTTTAAGGGTGTGTTTGGATAAATAGGGGAGAAAAGAAAAGAAAGGATAGTATTAATTATGAGAGAAAAGAAAAAAAAGGAAAGGATAGTAATAATTTTTATTCGTGTTTGGATAGATAGGGGAGAAAAGAAAAGAAATGATAACTATTCTTGTTCGGATAAGATAGAGGAGAGAAAATAAAAGAAAGGATAATGACGAAATTACTGTTATACCCTTTCATAACCACTTCATACATTATTCATTTCTAAAATCCTATTTCTTTTTGATAGTTCAATGTCATGGGTAAAAACAAAAGTAAAAAATAAAAATAATGGGTAAAAACAAAATTAGATAAGACTCGTTCAACCTAAACAACCGGGAAGTAGAAATTATATTGTTTGCCTGAAGCCCACAGAAAAAGTAATACATTAAATGATAAAATCACAATTATAAAATTTGGTACTGCCATCTTAAAATTATATGCTATTGACGGGATCATGTACATATCTGTGTACATATTGCATAATCTTTTTTCTGTTAGATTCAATTTCCACCCATAAAAAAATGCTGATGGGACTCTGTGAGATGATCACCAATAAAATATTGTATCTTTTTGTGAATTTATTGCTAGGTCAAACTTCAATCGGCTGAATTACAGTGGTTTC